TCCTTCGATCCGGTCGGATTCGAACCGACGTCTTCTTGCATACCGTGACAGACGCTATACCAACTAAGCCACGGAACGCACCAACGAACCCAACAAATTTTTCTATGTGCTTGTGTCGTGTCTTTGTATTTGGTTTTTCAACGACTTTTTAGTCGTAGCGCCATCTATGAGAAATCTATGAAAGATTTATCACGCAGTTGGTAGCTTTACAGCTACTAGTCCTGGCGAGAGATGTCGCTATTCACTGTATTTTAAATTTTTATTGAATTGATTATTTTTTGTGAAATTACTCCACTAGTTTGTTGTAATCATTAATAAAATAAACAAGTTTTATTTTTATTTATGACATAACATTATTATATTAACATTTTGTTCATTGGCGTTTAAAAGCGTTCAAAAATATAAGTTGTTTAACTTGTGTAGTTGTTAACCGTTGAAATGGAAAAAAACTGCTTATTTTTTAACGTTAAAACGTACGTTTAAAAAACGTGCTTGTAAAAGCGCTTCACTTAAACGCTTTTTAGTTTGACGCAAAAAAGTCGTTTAGAAAAACGTTTAAACGCATAGACTTTATGTTTAAAAAACTTGCAACGTTATGTTGAATTAATATGTTTAGGAATCATAGATGGCGCTACTTGAAACTTAGGCACGTTTGACCAGTAACCAATGCTTACGCTTAAAATGAAATTGTGCTTGTGCGCTTATTTTAAAAAGCGGACTTTTTTAAGTGCTTTTCGTTTAAACGCCCACCTCTAGTTAGCATGTAATTAATAGTCTGTGGTCAAAACTGCCAAAAGGCGCGTGGACCGTGGACCGTAAATTAGAAAGATTTTGGCGTGGACAGCGAAGTCGTATGAATAGGTGATTTCTTGAAATAATAACAATTTCCAAATTTACCTCGGTTTGTACATGTAGAAATCTAAATCTCAGTTCTTCTGAACTCATCACGTTTTTAGTTTCCTCAGTGAAGCGAGCAATCGCCGAGAGGGTTATACTTTAACTTTGGCAAGTGAACACAACGGTTATTGAAGTGAACATGGTAAGTAGATTTTAATTTATGGTAGTACTACCTCTGGTTGACCTTATAAACTCAATGCTTTCTCCAGATGTCTTTTACTTTTCATTTGACTAAAATTCCTACAATTATACGACGCTAAAGCTTTTAGGTTATGTTTCACATGGCATTACCGTCGCCGGTATTAATATTTTTTTAAATTATTTTTAGGGAGAAACTGAAGCCGCAGTGAACCCTAAAGCCTATCCTTTGGCGGACGCGGCCCTTACTGCGAAGATTCTTAACCTGGTGCAGCAGGCAACCAATTATAAGCAGCTACGGAAGGGTGCCAATGAAGCTACGAAAACTTTGAATCGAGGTCTTTCTGAGTTTATAGTAATGGCAGCTGACGCCGAGCCGCTGGAGATTGTATTACACATTCCAATCCTTTGCGAAGATAAGAATGTACCTTATGTGTTTGTACGGTCAAAGCAAGCTCTGGGGCGTGCTTGTGGAGTCTCCCGCCCAATTATAGCTTGCTCCATCACCATTAATGAAGGCTCACAGCTCAAGCCTCAGATCCAAAGCATTCATCAGGAAATTGAGAGACTTTTAGTTTAAATTAGAAATATTATGACATATTTTTTGATAATAAAACTATAAACTTGTACAATTGTATAAATTTTATATTGAAGTATTCATTTAAAGTTACCAATTACATACAAACATTTATATCACATAGAATAACACTAAATTGGCCCATTGGAATTATCACATAGATAATAAGTTTAACATACTGAAAATACTATCAAAATTCATTGTTTCAAAGTAAAAAAGACATGACAAATAATTGCACAATGGTTTGACTACATTTGCCATTATGTCAATCCGCCCTGAAGCTGGAAATGGGAAATGCAGCATATATATTTATTTTAAAACATTTCAACTAAGCATTCCTATTTCCATTCAGCCTTTCACATAACTAGAATTCATGTAGTAAAAAAACAATGATTACAAAAAATATCTTCATCACATAGTATTAAGTTGACAATTGGGCGAATGGAATGTTGTATCATTTGAGCTCTAATAATTTCCACACGCACAGGACCCCATCTGCTAAATTACTTGGACATTATTCTATGAATGACGCTGGCAAACTTGTTGCAAACCTACTTGTACTTTTCATAGTATCATGAATATCTTCATGCAACCATTTTGACTTTGTACTTAGGGTCTTAGGCTTACAATCCGGCGGCATGGAGGTGAAATTCAGCTCACGGATGACGCGTGCAGTGCTTGTGCATTCACAAGAATTCCCCTGTGAGCCAGTAGCAGGTGTTCAGTCTAGATCTTTTGCATAAGGATAATGGACTTGGACTTAATTCGCTTATAAGTGAAGCAAAAGAAGAAAAGGAGAACAGAAATAGAAAAGACATTTGGGTCCATGATTTATCAAAAACAATTTTGACAATGTGAAACATTTTGCAGAGATTTGTATGTCCATATATCCATCTACTCTTTATGTCTTTCCCGGTGCGTTAGTCTTAAGCGTCCCGTAAACGATAAAATAATTTGTCATGTTTTACATATTTGTCAAATTTTTTGGTTATCTGCAGTCTTTAGAATTTTTTTCAATAAAATCAAGCTTTATTGTACAAATTATCACATTTTCTACCAAACAAATCAACTTTTCATCTGAATCCATGTTTTTTCTGTTATGCATGGTACATATGTAAGTTCCTAACCTATTTCGAAGACGCTTTCCATCGCAATGCGCCTGCCTTCCCGTGCATTCGACGATGGCGGCTGCTGGAATTTTATGCGAACATTCTCGAGAATGCCAGAATCCCGCGCGGGATCATCAAATTATCCGGAAGACGCACAACCTGTTTTTTTTTACTTATATCTACATTAAAAAAAAACCATAAAGTTCATAATTAGCACAATGTAATCGTACGGAACAATAAAAATATTCCGCCGCATTGTAAATCGAGCCTTAAATCTGCAATAGCAAGAAGCCACAACTGACTTCCATTGTACTGTAGAAAACAGACTTCCAATTCACTGATATATTTCATATAAATCTATCTAAATTTTTTTATACTGGTGGTGGTTTTTACATTTCACATTGATTTTCGTGATCTTATTAAAATAAACAATAATTAGTCATAAATAAATATTAGACATCACATAATGTTGCTCTGACCCCAAAGTAAGTAACTAAAGCACTTGTGTTATGGAAGTTGGAAACAACCGACGGTACCACAAACACCCAGGCCCAAGACCGGGACTGAACGCGGGCCCTCAGAGAAGGCGAAACCACGAATGCCGTGCTAGCCACTCGACCATGGAGGTCGTCGTATGTAATGTGCAATAACAGCATTTAGTTCTGCGTAGCGTTCTGTGATATGCCAAGGGTTAACTTGTCTATTTGTACTCAAGTGTACTCTACAATCTACTCAAATAATTGCTTCACCCGAAGGTTCCAATTATCCTCCCATCTTGACTGTTGAAAATTTGTGAGATGATTCTTCATACATTCGGCAATTTTGTTCTGGACCTCATTATTGGGGAAGTCTTCAAACCAATTTACTATCTGCTTTGAAAGCTCTTCACTTGATTTGAATGTGTAACTGTTTATGCCATTTTGCACTAGTTCATTGAGACTGGAACAAATTAAAAAAAATTTAATAATCACAAAGTAATTTAGACTTGTACTTTTAGCTACTAAAATGTAGTAGTAGGTTCTTTTGTCATAACTACAGAATGTTAAATTTTGTGTTCAGTCAAGTGATTGAACAAATATTTCTAGAACACTAAGAGATTTACAGTTTCACTTAAAATAGTTATTTGCTCACTAGAGCAAATTTATTGCAATCAGTCAATTCAATTGGCATACATTGGCCCACAATGTAATAGTTGCATACAAAAGTGGTTTCCGAGTGGCTCATACTGTAATGAAGGTTTTATGATGTTCCCAAGGAGTGCATGCACCTATTAGGTTACACTGGTGTAGGAGGCAGCTAGTAGATTCTCATCATTAAAAGAGGTTATGGATGTATTTTTTGCTTTTTATGGAGTTGTCCAATATTAGGTACACTTACCATTTATATTCAAAAGCACAAACAGGTAGACCCGCACCAAACATATCCACAATTTTCATTGGTAAATCTAGTCCAGATGAACTAGTATGAAGACAAACTCCTAAGTCAGCACTAGCCACCATTGTAGGGTAATCACAAGCTTCCAACCAGGGTGTCACCACTTTGATGTGCTGCCATTTGCTTTGGGAAATCTTGTCCATATAATGTTGCTTCATAGGACCCTTGCCTGTAATGACGCATACAAGTTTTGGTAGTCTTTTCGTTACAATGTACGCCGTTTCATAACCTGTAACAAATTATTATTAAAATATAAATAATCGTTAATCAACACAGTGTAATTCATGTCAACTTTTATATAATCCTTAGATATCGCGGTCTAAAATATTAGGAGAAATTGTTTTTAAAAGTAAAAAAAATATTAACCAAACCAGACTTATTATTACGTAATTTTGAAGGATATTCGTGTATAGTCACTACCAGCGCATTGGTGTACTGGTCTGATATCTGCAACTCGACACATTGTTGAGCACCATGAGTATAGTACAGGGTCAAGAACATGTCAAACTTTACATTTATAAACTGCCTCTGTGGCCGAACAGTTACCATTCTGGACTGTCCCAGGTTCGATTCCCGGGTCGGGAGAAATATTTGCATGGCCTTCGGGAGAAATATTTCTCTCGTGAGTTTGGGTGTAATTTGTGGTTGTATATGTTTGTGTCCATGGCACCCGCGACACAGGGTTTCCCTAGTGCGGGGCTATGTTGAGTGTGTGCGTTATTACATTTAAGACTTAAATCCAACTTTATGCCGCTTACGATAAGAACGGTCTAAAGTACAGTGTCAAGCTTGATGTGCTCTTGAGTGTACCAATCACATTAACTGTTTGTCTAATTAAAATTACATATACAATAATAAACTAATGGAGAAAATTCAATTAGACATGTGTAAATTTACCTTCCAATGCTTTCATTAGAACACCAAAATCTTCATCTTGAGTCCAACTAGTACTGCTAAACAACAAACCAGGCCGGTCACTACGTGCCTCCACTTGTGATGCTACTAGTTGTGTAAATGCGGTCTTTGTAACACCATCTCCAGATGGATGGTTCAGTTGCTCCCGCCCTGTGCACGCAAATTCTGGGTACTGTTGACCAATCTTTAAAAACCATGCATGTTTCTCTTCTAGTGTTATTGGGTGGAACATATTTGGTGCTCTATCATGAAGAACTTTAGCTCTGAAAAGTAAACAGTTTATGAAGTAATTAAGTTATAAATTCATTTTTTTTAAAGTAAAGTCCACACTGTTTAGCTATACAAAAAAGAAGCAGAGGAAATGCACAAACAGGGTACCATGGTGATTAGATCACATTTATTGTATTGTATATACAGTGCAAACATAGACTTATTACAAAAAAAAATAAAATACCAAAGTAAAAGCTGAATTTCTGATTATAAGAATATATAGTTTTCTAAAATTCTTACACAATATCCCAGTTGTCCAGCAAGTCCTGTTTCATAGCATACGTGACGCATAGGTTGTGTCGCGCAGATTGGCCGAAATATTTCTCAATACACTTAGATATCTTCATTAAGAAATGCTTTGGAGGCAATGACAATGCCATTATGGAGTATGCATAGTTGTGCCAATCTATTATGAATATTGTTTTAGTGACCAGACAGTAAAAACGGCAGATTGGTAAGGTGGGAATCGCTGGAGGGTTCTGACAGAGTAGGTAGTCACATTTTCCAGTTACAAATAAAGTAAGAAGCAAGCTTACGGCTTGCCAAAAAGCTTTTAGCGCGTATTGAAATATCTTGGGCCCAGCGTTAAAAACGAGCGGTTGTAATTTAGTTATAGTTATTTGAGGGTGCTCCAGTATCTCGGTGAGCGGTTTACTGTCCACGTAAGCGATAATATTCACGTTAAGTCCGTTGTTTGCAAGGGACAAGGCATGATACTGCATACGTGGACTTCTTCCTATATCGCCCAATACGACCACTTTCACATTTTTTCTACGTGTTTCATCAGCCATGGTGTACAAAATTTCACTTGTTACATATGTAGAAATTTTAATTGAATTAAACAATATTTATTTGATCCTTTGCCGGTACCGCGTCGTTGACAAATTCCGAAGTCCGAAAATCTCGCGAGTTGCTGTCAACTAGAGATGGGCGTTGAATGGACGAACTAGTCGAATCAACCGTTCACGTCCAATCGACGTTTCTACGATCCCGTTCTTCGGTTAACTAGTAGAATTCGTAAACTGCTACACGGAGAGTCCACGCGTTAATCAAATCAACGCTCTGCGTCACGAGACGACGTGCGAACTTAGTCGAATTATACATAGACTTACATAGACAAATTATTTTAAACTTTAAATTCTGTAAGTGTAAGTTGATGTTTGAATATGTGCGATGAAGTAAGATAGGTGTGTTATGCTATTTATTATTGCAATAGTGCATTCAATATAGAAAAAGGATGACGGTGTATTTAATTCGCTAGAGCGAGAGATAGGCGTTGCGCCCGTTGTGACGCAATGTCCTAGAATCTATCGGAATGAAACTCTATTGCAGTATGTCAAAAGCGTTGATAGCCGCGCTCATGTTAAACGTTGGAAATGAATTAATTCCCAAAACTATGTATAATTTCAAAATTATATAATATATCATATTTTCAAAAGCTACTTTAGTTGATTCAGTAAACTCGTCTTACGAACGAAAATCAACTTAAGCTGAATGACAGACTAGTCGACAAATTTAACTAGTTGATCGTCGACGATGGGCGGTTGCGTTTCGTTAACGGAAACTGCGCCGACGACCCATCTCTACTGTCAACTGGAGTGAGAGTGACTGACATATTCAAAGTACTTTTAGTGTATTAATAGTTTGTGGTGACTGACTAGTTAAAAAACACAACACAATTTAAAAAAATACCTAAATTAATTAATTTATTAAATTATAAATAAAATTATAAATATTTTTTTTTCTTATTTATCTTGGCTCTTCACGGTAAGCGTTCGAATCGAACACACTCAGAGAAGTGTTGTAACAAAATATGTCGAGGAAATGGGAGCGAAAGCTGGCTGTGTAGAAAGCAAAGAGCAAAGTAAATATTTGGGAAGTGCTTAAATTCTCTTTGATTTGGGAAGTAGAAAGAGTGTCCTCTGGTAGAAAGGCACCACGGCACGTCCCGTTATACAAATGACAAAATTTATAGTAAGTGATAACAAAAATAATATCTATTTTTTATATATATATTCTTTATTGCACCAAACAAATAAACAGAAACAAAAAAATAACATAAGGTGAGCAAAGGTGGACTTATCTCTAAAAGAGATCTCTTCCAGCCAACCCAAGGCAGTGAGAGCAAAGGTTTTAAGCGGGGAACGGCGTGCAAAAGAGATAACAAAAGATGATAATCTACATGTGTAAAATATGCATATATAAAATTACCGTTAAATAATTAAAATAGTATATAAATAAATAGACTACATAACGTATAATACATTGTATCAATAAACTTACACATATACAAATATGATGATTATTAAGAGAGTTCAGCAAGAAAGTGCGCTGTCAACCTTTTCTTGAAGGAAGCAATTGACGGACTAGACTGAATATGGGAAGGGAGTCTGTTCCACAGCTGCGCTGCACGAGAGGAAAAGGAGTTGTAAAAGAAATTTGTTTTACAACTAGGATGAACGAGCATCTTAGTGATGCACGGACGCCTTGAGCGGCTAGGAGGGGGAAGCAGTTGGAACCGGGAACGTAGGTAGGAAGGAGAATTTGGGTCATGAAGTATATTAAAAAGGGTGGACAGGATATGCACATCACGGCGAAGGCGGATTGGGAGCCATTTTAACCGAGCACGAAATTCGGAAACGTGATCAAATTTTCGGAGACCGAAAATAAATCTGATAGCCAGGTTCTGTAGACGCTCTAGTTTGTTTAAAAGGTCTACTTACCTCTTTCTGTAAAATTTATTAACGTAATAACGTGAATCTATATTGCAAACGATATTTTATAAAGTATTTATTACGAAAGGTACACAATTGACAGAGATGTTAGGAAAATAAATTGCTAGGATACGTAGACCACAAAGCATGCAATCTTCTTAACATCCACTTCTCTATCTCTTTATGACGATAAGCTAAACTTCTGAGACAGCAATTCCTGTCTCGGCTTGAATAATGGTTTAGTGAGCAAGTCAGCTAGCTGCTCTTCAGCGGCAACTTGCCTCACTTTCAGAACTCCATTGTTTACACATTCTCTTTACATAGAATGTCGCAAGCGTATGTGTTTCGTACGACGGTGATACTCATAGGGTGGATTATGCGCTAACTTTGCTGCTCCTCAATTGTCGACATACAAAGGAGTTTGGCGTAGCGATGTCAGTTGTCCAACGAGACGCTTCACCCATATCATCTCTCGGCACGCTTCGCTGTCAGCGACTAGCTCGGCTTCTGTAGTCGAAAGCGCAACAGATTTTTGTTTCTTGCTTTCCCAGCTGACTAACGAGCGGTTCAGTAAACAGACTAGTCCACTTGTAGAATGACCAGTTCTAAATCACCTCCATGGTCAACGTCACAATATGACTCAATGCCAGTGACCATACTTCTCTCTCTTAATATAATATAATATAATATAATAAGATATAATAGGAAAGAATATAAGGCCTCGGGATTCCGTTCCTTTTAAGTATCGCATAATTCTTTTTACTTTTATCACATCTTGTGCAGACGGATTCTCTAGTTTTCTCGATGCTACGCTTACAGCTTAAGCTATGTCGGGGCGAGTTGCCACCATTAAATAGCTGAGTGCTCCCACTGCTTGTCTGTAGGGGAAATTCGGAAAATCTATGTTTGTACAAGTACTTTTTTTAGAAATACTCTCTCGAGACTCCTTTACAGCTGGAGTTGCGACTGGTTTGCAGTCCGACATTCTGAATTTTTCTAATATTCGCTTGATGTAAGCTTTCTGATGTACTAAAATAGTACCATTAGCTTGCTGCTCCAATTCCAAACCGAGGAAATAAGAAGCGGGCTTCGTTGTTATTTTGAAACGAGCCTTTAGTTCATGTTCCACAAAATGTTCTGCTTCTGCCTCATCTGTTGATGCGATTAACCCATCATCCACATATAGGCCTAATGACTTTGCCATTGCCACGTTTGCGAAAATAAAAACAGGGATCTGCTTCAGTTTGTTTAAATCCCGATTCTATTAAATGGCTGTTTCATGTACAGTTCCTCTTTTACATTCCCACTCAAAAAGGCAGTAGCTACATCAAACTGACGTAAAATCAACCCTTCATTAACAGCAACGCTTAGTAAAACTCTGATCGTACTCAAAGTGCTTGGCTACTGGAATGAAAGTCCTATCGTAGTCGATACCTTCTCTTTGCGAGTAGCCCTTAATTACTAATCTTGCTTTATAGCGATTAATACTTCCATCAGGATCCATTTGAAGTTTGAATACCCATTTGATCTTTCTTTGATTTGACTCTGATTTTTCTTTTTGCTTGAACTAATTCCCAAGTGTCATTTTCACGCAAAGAATTCATCTCACTATCTATAGCCTTGCGCGATTCATATTGGTCAGGTCAATCAAGAGCCTCTTTATACGTCTTCGGCTCTTTACTGCCATACAAGTCATCAATATTCATAACAAAATCATTGAACCTTATATCTCTGAGCGTCATGCTACTTTCTCCTAATTAAAGAGGTAACTCTTCACCCTCATTTCTAGGCGTCATTCCCCTTTCATTTATTTCTGGTAGTACTTCTACATTCTCTAATTCATTCTCTTCCTCTCTTATTGATACAAACGAACCACCAGCTTGACCTTCTTCATCATTTGAGTCAAGTTTATAATTAGTATACGGTTCAATATTGTTCTCATCTAAATTGACAGGTGAGGATCCTACCTTTGTATTTGATGACGATGGCATTTCTGCAGCTGTGACTAACAGCGGAAGGTCAAAGGACGTCGGACTATATCTACCTGATTACTTGGTCTCAGGGTTTTCTCTTCAAAGATTACATCCCTTGATCGATTGATTACATCCCGTCCGCATGTATGAGCTCTCCGACTTCAGTTGCTTTTCCTCTAGTTCCAAATTTCATACAACCTTCACATAATTTATTCCAAGCTCTATTTCCAAAACTTTCTTTACATGGGCCTTGTTCTGATGCCCCAACCTTTCATGGTAGAGCTGTAGTAAATTGTTCGAGTCTAGATAGTTTGTCTACAGATTGGACAGGTTTAACATTGGTCAATTGTAGCTTATATAACCCTCCATGTTTCTTCCTGTTTACAATTAGCAATTTATTACCATTGACTGACAAATTACATACTGTAGCATGTGATGTAAAGATACTATTTGAAAGCTTAACCTGGGCTGAGAGAAAAGGTTTTTGTTTATGGTAGGCACATACCAAACATCATTTAGGGTAATTATTTGCTTGTTGCCTGCAACGTCGGCCAGTACCGACAATTTGCCTTTGCGAATTGCTTGAACTGCCTCTCCATTCGCAGTTGTTACCGTGTGTGTACCTTCAAAATCCTCAAATGTTAAAAAGGTCACACCTGTGGGTAACATAGCTCGTAGTTCCGTTGTCAACAAACCAATTATCGTAATCTATGTTTGAATTTTTGTGGTCAAAATCCATAAGATTCATGTTTACGTTCATGCTTGGATCACCCTTGGAAGTTGATGGTTTCTGTTTGGGCGGACGTCCATCGGTAATCCATTTAGAGCATCCTTTGACCCTATGACCGATCTCACCGCAATAGTGACATTTTCCTTTGTCTCTTTTGTCAAATGGTTTCTTATTCTTCTTCAGTTCAGACTTTGTTCCTAGCACGTAAAGGGCGTCCATATCGTCTCCATTCTTAGAGGATGGTGCTTTCTCGTGAGAACATAGTTGGCTTGTTATGTTATCTATTGTTCGATCAGACTTTGACATTAACAACCAGCTGGATTTAAATACGAAGTATTCTTCAGGCCAAAATTTGTCCAAAATTTTACAAATAAGGAAGATTTTTGGTAAATAACCTTGTTTTGATTTTAGCAATTCTTGTGTTAGCGAAAACCAAATATTCTTTATTTTTGACAAGTGGGTAACCGACTATGTCATCTTCAGGTTTTTCTTATAGCTAAAGAATTTCAAACAGAGGTCATAGGCTCGATCTTCTGACACTCCATCATACAGGCGGTGCAGTTCTAACCATACCTCTATAGAAGTAGAATATCGCATAACTTTCTGAAAGTTATCATCTGACAGATTTGTAGTTATTACTAGCAACGCTACACTATCTCCCTTTTGATAGGCCTGCAGTTGCTTCTCGTAATCAGTTCACTCATCTGAGGTAGCATTCGATGCTAAGTTCTTATCGTCCAGCAGTCCAACTTGCATTTTGGTCACTTCAAGAAACGATTTGCCCATTTTTGCTACTTTATTAGCAAATGTGAACTCCCGACATTCCTTTCTTCATAAAACAACAATCTTTAACGCTCTGCTACCATATTAACGTAATAACGTGAATCTATATTGCAAACGATGTTTTATAAAGTATTTATTACGAAAGATACACAATTGACAGAGATGATAAGAAAATAAGAAGTTGCTAGGATGCATAGACCACATAGCATGCAATCTTCTTAACAAAATTAATTATTTCCATAAATTATACTTACTTCATCAAAATTCGAATATTTTTGAGAAGCGATTCAGGTTCCCAAAGATAGCTAAAACACAACACTGATAACAGCTGATATTCAATGTCATTACAACGAGTTAACTAGTGCTAAGTAGTCTGTAGAGTTAACAGACAGAAAGCCAAAGAGATTCGCAAATTGTCGTTTTTACTTTGACTTTCAATTATTTTGTGAAATCTAGTTTAAAGTGGAATACTATTGTGCCTTAATCTAAAATACCCGTATCGGCCCTTTCTAAGGAATCCCGAGTCAATCCAAGCACGCCGCCTCAAATTGCCTATCCTCTTTGTGGCGGCCATATTTACAGAAACATAATTAAACGAAGACGTGGCTCAAGTACTTATATCCAAGCCAAAATTATTAATAAAGAAAAAGAAAGTCAAAGAGTTACCACCTAGAATATACGGAAACAGAAAGCTTTCCATCTTATGCAGAAAGCAGTTATAGTGTTCTGTGATTAACAACTGTGGCGTTAATTTATAACAGTGGACTTCTTAACCTTCTTATTCATTCATTTTAAATTTAAAAAGGTCTAGGATGATCAACATGTCTAAGGTCTTAATGATTAGACATTTACCTGCTACACTTTCTTTTCAAGAAAAGGAACAACTTTTAAAACATTTTGGAGCGGAAAAAGTTTGGGAAACTTTGAGAAAAAGACATTATGTATTCGCATCGTTTGGTAGTGTAGAAAAAGCCAGGAGTTCTCTGATGCGGCTTCATCAGTTGGAGATAGCACACAGGAGGTTGGTTGTAGAATATTCTGTGGAAAAAGAACCTTTAACACAGAAAATAGATTCAGAACAAAGTTCGGCCACAACGAAGCATGTGCAAGAATTTTTAAGGCGACTGAACGCTTGGAATCCTTCAGTAGACTTCTATCAACCACCTCCAGTTCATTTAAAATACAAATATCCTGAAATAAATCCTTCTATTGCTGTGAATCTCATTCACACAATGTTTACTCACAAGCCATTTTATATCCAAAGTCTACATTTATTAAATAAAATGTGCTTAGAAGTACCATTTGAAGAAAATGAAAAAGCTATAGATTTTTTTAAAGAAACATTCAAATCGTACTTTTTTGATCAAATGACATTAATTCCACAACCACAAAGTGAACCAGAGTCAGAGATATCCAGTGATGAGACTGAGCAGAAGACTGTAACAAGCCAACCAACAGCATTTAAGAGAAAACGTAAACTAGTTGCACCAGTAAAGAGTGCAGCTGCAGTTTTGTCTACTGCCATATTGCCTAAGGTTAAAAAAGTACCGGTAAATCATGAAGAAGTATTTGAACCCATCATTCCAATACAAGAACCAAAGAAAATATCTTTATTTGTACCTCAAGACGCATTGCAAAAACCCTCTGAAGAACCAAAAGTTATTGGTGAACTTGGTAAGTTTGAAAAGGAACCAGAACCAGAAAAAATAGAAGAGGCATCTTCAGAACCTCAGCAACCAACCATTTCCAAAACAGAGTTGTTGAAGAATAGAATATCTTACAATGATATGAAAGTATTGCCCGTGTTCAAGAATTATCACCCAGGACAGCCTTCAATGAGGCTTTACATTAAGAATTTACCAAAGACAGCAACTGAACAAGATGTTCACAGAATCTATAGGAGATATATAGAAGATTTGTCTGAGGAAAAACAAAATGGTTTTGATGTACGAGTCATGCAGGAAGGTAGAATGAAGGGGCAAGCTTTTGTTACATTCCCATCTGTTGCTATTGCTGAAACAGCATTGCATGAAACTAATGGTTACCTACTGAAAGAAAGACCTATGGTCGTACAGTTTGCTAGAGCTGCAAATAAAAAGACTGTTGATTGAGAATGCATTTTTCATTACAAATATAACATTATTTTTACTAAAATTTCTTATATTTTCATCATTTCGATGGAATATGGTACAGATTCTTCACGTATCTTATCTTTACCAGTCAAATACTTATGTAATGTTATCATTGTTTTATCAATTGTATGTAAGTTTTTTACAAGAGTCAGCACACAACTCAAAGTGTTTTTTAAAACATGAGTCACTTTTTGACTTTTTGTCATTAAGTATTGTTGGTAAAATGAATCTACAAGTAAAGTGCACCAGTCAAGTAATTTGCTTTCAAAGTCTGCATCTACTGAAATGTGCTGATCAAAAAGTAAATATGTAATGTATGTCATCAGGAAAAGTGCATCATCTAAGGAAATACCTTCTCTTAAATAAAAAGTTAACAATGCGTCACTATAAACAATTTTGAGTAAGTCATTTAAAAGGCTTAAATTATTTTCTTGTCTTTTACAGAATTTTGTAAATTTTTGTTGCTTTGTAAGATCAACACTTTTTGCATCAATTAACTTTAAGACATAGTTTATTGTCTGAACTAACACTGATTCAGGTACATCTTTAAATTTAATCAATTCTGATTTAACTTTTTCAGTGCTGTCTTTTTCTAATAACGGCGGTATGACTTGTGCACAAATACTTCTTTCCGTGATTCCCTGCTTTAAATAGTGCTTAAATTCATTTGCAACTTTAATATTCTGTTTTGCAGAATTGTCCCAGTTGACAATTTCAGTTTCCTCATCCTGAATGATTTCATGAGAACCTAGAAGTCTGGAGAGGTTCCTTCGAATCTCTAACACATAAGGCAGTACTCCAATATGGTTCGAAGCTTCTAGAATTATTCTTTCATTGATGCAGTACAATTTTGCTTCAGCAGTGTACATCTTCATTGGATATTTGCAAGACCCAACTCCGAGAACAACATTGTAGGCTAAAATTATAGCTCCATCTTGATCCATGTTGCTACCAAACAGAATTAAATGATCCTTAGCCATCCATGCCATGGAAACATGGTTAAAAGTCGAAATCCAAGGTATGGTGCCAATGGTCTTCCAGAACTTTTTAGTTAAGTCGTACATTGACATTTTTGAGTCGCTCCCTGAAATCAGACAAAATACCATTTTAGTTCTGCACACATTCACTATTAATATTTACAATTCTCATCATATTTAATACTTACACAAAACATACACAACCATTGCTTTATCCTGTGTACTTATAAGTTCACCAACCACATACACATCATCAGGCCGATTTATCTTAATCCTGCTTATTTTAGATCTTTCCAAATCCCCAAGCTCATGTCTAACTGGACAGTTTATAATTTCATATAAGTCTTTGCTGTTTTTTATTACATAGGTTATGTAATCTATTCCATTTTGCATGTAACAAGCTGCATCAACTATAACTTCAGAGTCTTTAAGGATTGATTTGCTTTCATATGTCTTTCTGTTGTCAATTGCATATGGAAGGGCTCCGCAATTCCCATTTGAAAATACAATTATTGATGGCTGCTGTCCTCTTGGTATTATTTTTAGCAAGTTGGTAGAAAACTGAAAATTGTTATAAATTTTGTTTTAGACAGTATGATCAACCTAGTTTTGCCACCAATTAGCAACATGTTCATTGCCAGTCATATCGAAAAATTATTAAAGGTTAACACTAAATTGCTTTGACTAAAATTGTGTGCCAAAATAAAGTATTATCACTACTTTACCTTGAACTTTTTAGATTTATCCAAATTGTCTCCATCTTCCTTCCACATCTTGATGGTGTTATTGTTAAATATGCCAACATAACTGTCTTGTTCTTTGTCATGGACCACAGTAGACGTTATATGGTCCTTCGAAGTCCAGCCACCAACTTGCTTTTGATCTGAAAGCTAAAGGTTATTTTAGTACTATAACCTCAAAACTTATACTACAAACGCGCTTTTCTGTGAGGTAAATCATAGTCAAAACAAACATATTTTGAAAGTTAATTTACTTCTTAAACAAACTTACTCTATATCTGTTAACAACATTGCGTCCCAATGTTACGATCAGGTATTCCCCTTCTTTGTCAGGAGAAACGCCAAGAAAACTTTTCTGATCAATTAAAGGACACAAAACGTAGTAATTGTGCAATTTAGCCATTACTTTCTTAACGTAAAACAATAGATCATTCGTTTAAAACGTTAACTTAACCTACAACAATGATTTACACGAATTATTACATCTGTGTTGCCAGGTCAAATCTGCACAGAAAAAACAGTAGATTGAGGAAAAACAAAAAACAGTAGATGCTGAACTTACGGACAGTAAGTTACGGTGTTTGATTTTCTTCAAACATTGTCACCTACATTTTTTTTAATTTAGCTCCATCTTTTTTTTATCTTTATTGATGTGTATATATTTATGTTGTGGCGTAGTAATAAACGATTTCTATTATATTCTAATCTTTTTGATGTTATCTTACTTACGACGATTTATAAAGTCTAAAAAGCCGACAAGAACAGTTGTAAAAAGTGAAAAATCTGAAAATTCTTGAAAAACAGTAGATTTTGACTAAAAACAGTAGAACAGTAGATATCGTCCAAAAACAGTAGATCTACTGGAAAAACAGAAGACCTGGCAACACTGAATTACATATATCCACAGAACACTATACTCACAAGCATATATCTCGTCTACGTTATATCTCTACTCTACGTAACTAACGTACCTACTCTTTCTACCCAAAACATTCATGTGGGATTTTGTGTTTACATGGACTGTTTGTTTAAAAATCAATTCATCTTGTCTATCAATGGGATATGAATTCCTATGAAAGGCGCGCTCAAGGTCATTTGTTTCGTTAATTTGGGATGGTTATGTAACGTTCACACCCAATCTTTATAATTTGTGGTTCACTCACACTGATACCGCGTATTATTATCATTGGGTTTCAGGGTCAAGGCAGTTTGTTTTAAAGTTTTTAAACAACCATTTCATTTTGTAATTGACACTCGTCAGCAGTGGACGAAGCATGTCGACTGTGGGCGAAGTCATCAAGTGCCAAGCGGCGGTTGCTTGGGAGGCCGGGAAACCGTTGTCTATTGAGGAAATCGAAGTAGACCCACCAAAGGCAGGCGAAGTCCGCGTTAAGATACTAGCGACCGGTGTGTGCCATACAGACTCGTACACTTTGTCTGGCAAGGATCCCGAGGGCGTGTTCCCCGTTGTTCTAGGCCACGAAGGCGGTGGCATAGTCGAAAGTGTCGGTGAAGGGGTCACAAGTGTTAAACCAGGGGATCACGTTGTCCCACTCTACGTACCCCAGTGCAAGACTTGTAAGTTTTGCCTCAATCCTAAGACGAACTTATGCCAGAAAGTGCGCGTCACCCAAGGACAGGGCGTGATGCCTGATGGCACACGCCGCTTCCGCTGTAAGGGCCAGGAACTGTATCACTTCATGGGCTGCTCTACATTCAGTGAATACACTGTTGTTTTAGAGATTTCGCTGTGTAAAGTGGCCGACACTGCACCTTTGGATAAGGTATGCCTGCTTGGGTGTGGAGTACCTACTGGATATGGAGCTGCACTCAACACTGCTAATGTTGAACGTGATTCTACCTGCGCCATTTTCGGTCTGGGAGCTGTTGGCTTGGCTGTCGCATTGGGTTGCAAAGCAGCTAAGGCCAAGCGTATCATTGGTGTAGACATAAACCCTAACAAATTTGCTGTGGCTAAGAAATTTGGAGTTAACGAATTTGTCAACCCCAAGGACTACGACAAACCAATTCAGCAAGTACTTGTCGACTTGACTGACGGGGGATTGGACTTCACATTTGAATGCATTGGCAATGTTAACACAATGAGAGCTGCTCTAGAAGCATGTCACAAGGGTTGGGGAGTGTCAGTCATTATTGGAGTGGCTGCAGCTGGCGAGGAGATCAGCACTCGTCCATTCCAGCTCGTCACGGGTCGCACATGGAAGGGAACAGCTTTTGGAGGGTACAAGAGTCGTGACAACGTACCACTACTGGTTAATGAGTACTTGGACAAGAAGCTGCCGTTGGATGACTTTGTAACCCACAATGTACCACTGAAGGAAATCAATGAAGCATTCAGTTTGATGCATGCTGGTGAATCCATTCGTGCTGTTGTGCATTTATAAACTAATTATAGGGGTATATTACATTGTATAATATATTTAAGCATATACATATATTGAACTGTAAACCGACTGACGTTTGTACAGCAGGATTTTGGTAATAAATAACTTTAATATTTATTTCTTACATTATCTTGTTTTTATTGTATAAATTAGTTTCAGATAAAGAACATTTTGGGTTATTATAAAAACAAATTACGATGAAATTTTGTCAAAACTTAAGTAGTTTCACATTGAAATATGACATTGATAATTAATGAACATTTAAATTTGAAGTACACGCAATTTACTTTGACGTGTGTGCCGACGATGATGTGACGTGTTTTGATTTGTATTCAACATATATTCAACAGCGTTGCGAAACCACTTTATGAAAAAAATTTGATAGGTATAAATAAAATATGTAGAATGGACTAATCACTTACATTTTTTAGCAGTTCTTCATTGATTTCTGCATTATTTTGTGAACTAAAAATACTGGTATTATTATTATTATTATTATTAGGGAGGCTTCATTCAGGGCCTCATTACTGCAATCATCAAGTGATCTATTGCAATCACCACTAATTATAATTCCGAGCCAAGGCCAACACCATTAAAGAACTGAAGTACTTTCCTGGCTCTCACAGTTTTTTGTCCTCTGGCTGTAGCCTGTGTCTTCCCAGAATGGAAAAGAATATTAGTATAATGCATAGTAGTTTACAATAATTTTGTAATTATAAAGGAAAGGAGCAAATGAAACAATTTTTTTTAACTAAAGATAAATATTATAAACAATATTTATATCTCAGGTTTAACATGAATAATAGTAAGTATCACAGTATTTGATACAGCATAAGTAACATTTCAAACTATAATTTGGAACAGCATAAAAAGCCCATTATGGAAACTTTTTACTCTTCAAGGTGTACACAATATAGCTTCTACTTTTAACTTGTTTTACAATTACATCTGCAGCTTAGTGACCATTATCTGTTCAAACAACTTTTCAGCTTGATTCAGCCGTCACTTGTTTGTAATATTCGACATAACTCTCACATTGTTCGCCTGAAACAATTGAATTTGTATATGTTAAG